GCAAAAAATAGTAATTTATGTTGACTTTGCTTTAGACGTTATTGTTCGAATTCAAATGTTGAATTGATATATTTCGTTATTGGACATGGTCAACTTTAATCCCCTCTATTTCCTGAACGGGCTGTATGCTCATCTTGAAATTTTGCAGGAGTTATTGGATCATTATATGTAACTATTTGGCATAATAAAAGTTTCAAAAATCGAGGTACCGAAAACGGGCATTTTTTGCATGGAGCTTGCGGAGGTTCTTTGAGAAAGCAATTCAAAGTTTACGCCAATTATCAATTCTTTGACATCGCCATAAAGAATATTTGTAATTCACTTTTATGATTCGTTTTTTTTATTTCCAACTAAATTAAATTGATCTTCCATGCATCTACATGCGTAAAGAAAATAATATTTGAAAGATTTAAAACTTAAGAAGGGAATCGTTTTATTTTGGCTAAAAACATGACAAAATTTGGGAATTTTTTTTTAAGAAACTAGTAATTCAATTCATGTAAAATTTATAACATGTTTGTTTTTATGTTTGAAGAACTTCTACTTTTTTATTTTATTAAATTTTAATAATAAATATGAAAGATATTAATGATGGAATATCCTTTGCTCCGCAAAGTTCGTCGTCCACTGATGTGTGCACGATATTAATCTTCCAGGTAATCTGAAACATAAAAATCGAACGGCATATTACTTTATACATACATAGCTTCAGTTTGATGAACTAGAATTTAAAAAAAGGATTTTTGCGGAATTGGTGAGTTTTCAACTCAGAACTATAAATTTTACTGTCAAAATTCGTTTATTTCTTTTATGTAATAAAAAAAAGTAACTTATCAATATTCTGGTTCATCAAACGATAAAGTAATGTTTGCTGAACATACAGGCCAAATATAAAGATAATCGGTTGAGCAGTTACAAAAATATCGTGCGCACCACCCGCAAAAGTACTGTTTTGAGAAAACGGCATTTAAAGTTTTAAATTTATTTTATGTAAGTATATCAAGTACTTACATCTTATTTTTGCTATTTTGCTATCCCAGGGCTATATAGTCCTTCCTCATTTTCGTAGAAGTTATTTAGAGCCATCTGGTCGTTCCTTCGTTTTATTCGAGCTTCTTTCGTAGCCTCGAGACTCTGTCGCGTTGATCTTTCAAGGCGGTATTGATCTCGCGTGTTACAAAATATTTTGGCGTTTCTTCCTATAACAATTCCTATCGTTGTCATAATTTTAAGACCAGCATAAAAGCCTTCATTAAAAATTCCGACTGCTAAATAAGTTGCGATTTCAATTATTTTTGCTCCGTAATGAAGATGCTTAGGCGCGAATACCCAGACTGTAGAGTTATAACTCTTATGATTATTTTGTGTTTCACCACCCAAATATCTTTCTAACAATTCTCGTGATGACAAATCTTCGAAAATTGGCTTTATAGCTTGCTGAACATCTTCATGAAATGGTGGTTCGTGATCGAATTCATGAAGAGTGTTATTACTTTCGGCAACGCGCCATTTACACCATCTATCTGATCCCACTGGGCAGTACATATACTGTGAATTTTCATTTGACGAAATCTTGTGATAAAATATAGCCCACACAGCATTGTGCAATCATCAATCTGGATGTCTTCTGATTGCCAATCCGTAATAAATCGTTAATTTTTGTATTAATTTACGAGGGGCACTACTTATATTTTGAGCCTTAGCAATACTGAGTGTTGTCAGGTGCCATCGGACGTTTCCACTAGAAAGTTTGACATTTTTGACCATAACCTTCTTCAGAACGTTTTGTTATTTGAGCGCGATTT